CACCCCCCCCACACACACACGCCCATCTGACCAGGACCAGATCATATTCAGTGATACACCATGTGAATTCAAAGCTGTTGGAAGTGATGAAGACTCACAGTCATAGGGGCTTTTTGTTTTGGGGGTGGGGGGTAAAATGACAGAATGATGACAGAATTAATAATAAAAAAAGATCCCCTTGAAAGGAGCGCCTCCCCCCACCTCTCACCCCTCACCCCCCAAACTCTCAACCAGCGACATACATTTTCATGCAGATTTGCAGAGTACTCACAGAGCTGCTGTCTTGTCCTCCAGGTTCAATCATGTAGGTGTAATTGCCGTCGAAAAACATTCCACTAGAAGAGGGGGAGGGGGGAAAGGAGGGGAGAGACAGAGCGAGACCACCTGTTAGAATCTGCTTCCACTGTCGGGATAAACGCTCAAAGAAATAATGGATCTGAATTCAACTCCTCTGCTGCAGGGCACAGGTCAGAGGTCACAGGTGTGAGTCACCGCAAACCATTACTGCTCACAGCTGTCTTTGACATAGACGCAGCTGAGAAGACATGAAGGATGATGGGAAAAAAAAAGAAGGAAAGGTCACCACATCCACTCAGAGATTCAGACTCCGCCCACACGGCACAACTTAAAGGTCAGCTGATGACTGTATTTATCAGAGTTTGGACAGAACGACATGGACTGAGGATGAGTCACACCTGAGTGAAGATCCACTCCACTAACCTCCCAGACTTTCCACCAAACTCTGGGAGAACGCGGAGACAGAACCCATTTGTCGAGGCGGCGTTTCCAAAGTCACTGAAGGTCGTTGTCGCACGCCCACCAGCTGTCCCACACACGTGTGCACATGTGTGCAGACGCCGCACGTTAATCAACTTTGTCTGAGGCTTTTAGGAGATTGGTCAGGTCAAACTGGGAAGTCGGGAGGGTAAACACCGCAATCTGTCACCCCCCCAACGGTTCCCCCCCCCACCCCCCCCCCCCCCCCCCTCAGCTGTTTGTCTGGCCTTCACACAAACTCACCTTGTACACATCCTCCATCAGGACCAGCTGAAAACTGCACTCACTGCAAATTACACATGGTCTCAGTCCAACAGCCAGAAGTTCACACACAGTGAGATGTGAATAATAACTGGTGGCATTGAAGGTAAACACAGGACCAATCAGCACTCAAGGAAATTTTTGCCAAGGTGCCACACCCCCCACTTTGGGAACCAGTGAAATAAAGTCATCTCTGACTAACCTGTTGATCTTGGTAATAATTTTTGCCACTTCAACTCCAGACCAGGTGAAACCAGGGGAATGTTGTTGTTTATATTTTGCTTTTCCAAATGTTTGCAGTTGTCAGAAGGTTTTTTTTTTTACTTTAACTTTATATTACCTGAAGTCTGAACTTACAGTTATTCTAATCCTAACCTGACGTTATAATGTTATAATAAAATCCTGTTAACTCGTGAAGCGGGTCCTGACACGGCTGATCCAGTTGGAGTCAATGAGCAGAAGAGGTCGGAGGTTTCAAACTGGAGCGTGAGTCGATGCTGAGTGTACGAGCCGTTTGATGGATGTAGCCTAGATCACTATCCCTCTGTGGAAAGCTAATGGCAGTGTTGCACTGCAGGGTAATGATTGGATAAGAGAGAGAGTGTGTGTGAGAGAGAGAGAGAGAGCAGGACCTGTATTATGTATGGTAAAAAAAAAAAAGAAAAAAAAGAAAGAAATCCATTCACTCACCGGGAAACATCCTCTCCCTAATGTCTAAGCCCCTGACACTGAGATGTTCACTGGCTTCCTATTGTTGTCTTACTCTCACTTACTCAGTCTGTCTCACTCATTCACTCACACACACACACACTCTGCAGGGAAGACAACAGGCACGTCAACCATCAGCCTCCATGTTTTCTTTCGCAGAAACCCCAAAACAACAGCTGTCATTAACGATGACAGTGATTAAAACGACAGCCGTACAACGACCAGACGACACGCCGTCAGTCACATGATACGTCAATGTTTCCAAAGCTCCAAGTTCAGAGGAGTTTGTGAAACAAACGTCCACAAAATAAAATGAAAGGCATGGAATTCAAAATCATTTTATTTTATAAATATCTTAATTTACTCACTGTAATCCATGACACGTAGATAGGGCCACAAAGGATTGTGGGATACCTCGGATCTTCCCCTGGTAGTAGCAGAGCTCTCCCCCCTGAAAGACGAACACAGCAGTTCCAGATTATACACACGTGAAGTATTGAAGTATGAAGTATTGAAGTATGAAGTATTGAAGTATTACTGCAACTACAACCTCATCGGTCATTGGTCAGTGTGAACACACACCTGGAATACACTCGTGTGTGTGTGTGTGTGTGTGAATTCTTCAGCCTCTGTGTGTTTTTGGTCCAAACTCGGCCACAGTCTCAGCCGCACACAAACTATTTCCCATCTCTGCCCCCGCTGACCGTCAACCACTCCACTCCACCGTCTACAGCCCCTGCCTGTGCAGTTTGTATTTGCCCCCCCCCACCCTCCGTACCCCCCTCCTCTCCTCTCCTCTCTGCAGGCACAAACACACTTTCAGTTTCCGCAGACGTGTATGAGGTCTAAGTGTCTAAGTGCTGCGCGGGCCTCTGTTCCTGCTGCGTCTCTCGCTGCCTAACAGCCATTAGACAGGAAGCTGTTGTCCCTGAGGAGACGCAGCTTTTATCACTGGATCAATTTCTGCTCCACAGTCTGACGCTGCTCCACAGCAGCCCCGCTCTGTCCACTCCGCTCTGTCCGACCCGCTGTGGACTTCATCCACGTCTCATTACTAAGTTGGAGAACGTGTCTTTGGGAAGACCCCCAGAGGAGACGCCGTGGGGTCTCTTCCTGTCCAGCTGCTCCATCGTAACAAGAACATTTCTCTTATCTTGTCAACTATTAACAAAAGCCCCATCTATGATGCTGTCAATTCATTCAAACATTTAATTAGGATTAATTACACAAGTCCACAGTTGGTTGATCATTAATTGCAGTTTTAAATGTACAATAAAATAAATTACATTTTACTTCATAACTCTTTGATATTAATATCTACAGCTGTAATTCAAATCACAAAGATCACATACACCAGGGGGCGCCAACTCTATTTGTCCGAGGGCCGGAATCTTTCTGGACAGACTCACATTATTATTTGATGTTTGTTTTGGAATGCAGTCAATTCAGCGGGCCTAATTTGGCCCCCGGGCCACGGGTCCTGTCCAACTGCTCCATCGTAACCAGAACATTTCCTTATCTTGTCAACTACTAACAAAAGCCCCATCTATGATGCTGTCAATTCATTCAAACATTTAATTAGGATTAATTACACAAGTCCACAGTTGGTTGATCATTAATTGCAGTTTTAAATGTACAATAAAATAAATTACATTTTACTTCATAACTCTTTGATATTAATATCTACAGCTGTAATTCAAATCACAAAGATCACATACACCAGGGGGCGCCAACTCTATTTGTCCGAGGGCCGGAATCTTTCTGGACAGACTCACATTATTATTTGATGTTTGTTTTGGAATGCAGTCAATTCAGCGGGCCTAATTTGGCCCCCGGGCCACGGGTTGGTGATCACTGACATACAGGGTTAATTTTCCCGCTAATGATCTTTACTATATCATATACTCTTAATAAATACCTTTTAACTAAGACAATAAATAAATCTGCACAAACACTTTTCCATTTTATTGGTGATGTGTTTTTTTTTCCATCACCGTCGTTACTTTATCTGTGACTGAGCAAAAACAGTGAATCTGGAGGAACTCACTTTGGTGACGACGGGTTTTCCTCCGTCTGAGACGTGTCTCTCCACGTACCCCGAAGACAGCAGATCACTGTGGACGAGAGACAAAATACAAAGAAGGACATTAACGTTTGAAGATTTTCATGACGTATCGAAATCACTTGGCCAGTATCCTGCTGTGAATACTGCTGTGAATACTGCTGTGAATACTGCTGTGAATACTGTGTGAATACTGGAATACTGCTGTGAATACTGCAGTACAGTGCTGACTACTGCGAGAGTCCTGAGAGGATCGGAGCGACTAATTGTGACAAACGCACCGGGGACAATCCGATTTCCTGGACGCAAACAAAGTCACGCCAATACAGCCAGCGAGCGACTTTTAGCTGTGGATCTATGGGAGCGATGAAGGACGGGTTGAGGTCAGTAAAAAAAAAAGTGAGAGAGGAACAATAGGAAGTCGGCAGAAAATAAATTGTGTAGGAAGAGAAACAGCAGCATAAAAAAGAGCAAATCAGTGTGTGTGTGTGTGTGTGTGTGTGTGTGCTTCCTCAGCAGAGCTGGACCCGGGACTCCCGGCGGACGAGGACGCTGCAGGCCCGATCTGAGACAGAGATGTATGAGCTGGAGAGCCCCCCGCCCCGCCGCCCCTCGGCCCCGAGCGCGCGTTCAGCGCCCTCNNAACTGTGGATGGACGCACATCTCCATATACGGTCCACTGTCTGTCCACTGATAAACACCGGGGTGCGTGGGAGATGTAGTTTGACAGTTTGTACTACGCTAGTGAAACAGGCAGTGATTGGTGGTTAGGTTTGTTACTTCAACATTACTGTTTTGTTTATATGTTGACCAGAGAAATCAAGTGGTGGCCCACGGGCCGAGTCCAGCTCGTCCAAACCGTCCAATCCGGCCCACCACTGGATTCCAAAATTGTGACAATCAAAGAGTAATTATCATAAGATCGGCAAGTATATATATAAAAAAATAAAACAGAAGTAGCTACCATCATCAGTAATCCTAAAACATTTATGGCTCTTTTTACATTCCATTACGCAAAAATGCGATTTGTGTCCTGACCCCAGGGTATATGGCCCCCTGCTGTAAGGCCTCAACCCACGTCCACGTCCACTGCTATTTCCTCATTACATTAAATCGTTCATGTTCATTTAGCGCTGTGCTAAATGAGCCGCTGACACGGGTAGCATGGGCGGAGCCAGCCAGTGTATGACTCTCTCTGTGATGTCACACAGCTGGTGAAGCTTATTCTGAGACTCGGTTGAAACCGTCACTGAAGTTCTGTTTGAATGTGGCCTGACGTCAGCTGTGACATCACCCGACGAGCCTCGCTGTCTGACGGTTCAACTGACGCCTCATCACTTTCATCTGCTCCACCGATGAAGACACCGAGGGTCTTTGTTCTGCAGTGATGTGTATTTATGAGACAGAAAAGTCTGTGATCTTTATCCTGCCTCATCCCTGATAGGGGCCGGGGGGGGGGTTAGTGAAGCAGCAGGGCAGACACACAGGCTTCTAACAGAAGACGCTGATAACAGAGTTCAGCTTTAATTGTTACAGGATTTAAATAATTTATTTGACAGACGAAGATGCAAACTCAGCCGGGACCCCGTCCTCCGCCCTGACACACACACCCTGACACACACACACACACCCTACACACCCACTGCTACGTGTTCACGCTCTCTTCACTCACTGACATCCACATGAATTAAACATAATTTAACACAATTTACCAACTTCAACAGGATCCAGCTCCATCACCGTCTCTCTCTCTCTCTCTGCTCATCCTGCACTGGTCTGACCTCTGTTGCTGTGGTAACATTTGTTTTAAAAGCTGGCATCAAGATGTCAATCAACCCCCAGGAGGGCGGGGGGGGGGGGGGTGATGGTGCGTGTGCAGGGGCGGGGGGG